TTTTTTTGGCCCTCTGGGGACTGGTAGTAAAGCAGGTAAAATTGTATGGGGAAAAATCATTTTTATTTAATTGTAGCTTGTTTAGCATTAATTTCCGGGGAAAAACTGAACGACAAAGCCCCTGACTTAGTTCTTTAGGTTGTCGTTCAGTTTTTTTGACCTGAATATGCACCGAAAGCGAATTATTCCCACTTCTCTCAATTTCTATATGGGGATTTTTATCACTTCCTACCAGCGGAACAGCGCCATCTCTGTGGAAAATGGTCGAACAAAATGATTAATTCAAATTGTGACCCTGCTTCTTCTGATAGCTCTGGAGATGCCACCATGATACATGACTTCTCTATCTACGAATATTTTGAACCATACCGCAACGAATCCATAATTGGATTCAATGAAGATGCACCTGATGAAAATGTTGAATCAAATGGTAAGCACTTTACATATTCGTTATTACAAAAGTAATTACTAGTTTATATCTTTAGGCGAATATTTTGTTAACTCGAAACGAAAAACAGAGAAAATCATCGAAAATCAATCGAAAAAGATACGCTATTCAACAGGTAAGTGATGTTAAATATCAACAGTACACAACTGCAAAGTGTATTTTTTTTGTTTCCGTCAGCTAATTTCGAAAATGTAAATATTTTATAGATGACGACATTGATGATGACCTAGCGATGGAAGAGCTGCAAAACAATAAAATTGTTAAGAAAAATACACCCCCTGCGATGTTGAATAAGCTCTACAAGCAAAGAGGTTTAGCATATACGCGACCAAACCATAGGGTCCCGAAGAAACGTGCTCAACTTTTTGGCTCACCTCTGGTACTATCTTCGGTCCCAAGCTAGTCGAATCACCCCTTGAAACATAGGAAAATCCAATAACCCCTCATTTTATCTGTCAAACTTTCATAGCGAATCAAAACAAACATTGTGTAGTACTAGAATTTTGACTAGAATGGGATACGTTAATCGATTTGCTTGGGACCAATAGGCTAGTCAAGCTGAGCCAATTTAAAATCGTTAGTTTCGTATTGATTGTTGACCAAACGGCGTAAAAGTGCCGGCGCGAAGATGTGGAGCTCCCTGCCGTTGTTCAAAACTGTTGCAGTTCCAAATACGACAACGATGTGCGATTGAAGTTATTGAGAAACTTTTTACACCTGTCATCCTCAGCTCAAAACCAATTCCTCGGCAACCATGTGTCCATTTCCTTTGTGGCTGAAAGCAAGGTATGGTTTTATTATTATTAATTATTGTTGAGTCCTCTTGATTATAATATGTTTTAGGCGATCAATTCAAGATGAGTGTTCAGTTTTAAGTACAACCTCTTAATTTGTTTTCAGTAGGTGGCAACACCTTTACTTGTGGCTCAAACAGTAACTACCTACGTGACTTCTGAGCTCTTTTGAATGTTTGGCTCCCGTTTGACAGTTCGACTCGGCTCCCAGATGACAAGCATTTTGAGTTAGTTCGCAGTACTCAGGTAAAACCATGTTTTTATCGACGTTCGATGTCAAGGAAAAAAAGATGCGCTGTTTGATCAATAACAAGATCAAAGGACTCGGAATCGTATCCGAAGATGGACGTACAGTTAATAGCAGGCGGCATACGATCAGCGCGGAAAAAAAAACCGTCATCTAAACTGTATTTGAACGCCGATCTCAATATTACGAAAATTTACGATATGTATTGTAGAAAATGCAAGGCTGACTCCATCAAACCTGTACACTACAATACATATAGAGCAATATTCGGCTCCTTCAATCTCAGCTTCCGGAAACCAAAGGCCGATACGTGCGGGGAATGTGACAAATGCAGTGTCAAAATCAAGCATGCCACCGACGAAACCGAGCTGCAATCACAGGAGGAACATCAGTTGAAGGCTAAACATGTCTACGAAATGAAAAAAGCGGATGTAATGAAGGCCAAGAAAGACGATGGAGTTGTAAAGATTTCCTTCGATTTGCAGAAGTGTTTACCTACACCTCACTTGACGTGTGGACAAGCTTATTACCAACAATCAATACGAAACTAACGATTTTAAATTGACTCACCACTTGACTAGCCTATTGGTCCCAAGCAAACGATTAACGTACCCTATTCTAGTCAAAATTCTAGTACTACGCAATGTTTGTTTTGATTCGCTATGAAAGTTTGACAGATAAAATGAGGGGTTATTGGTTTTCCCTATGTTTCGAGGGGTGAATCGATTAGCTTGGGACCGAAGAGAGTACCAGAGCTGAGCCAAACAGTTGAGCACGTTATTTCGGGACCTTCTAGTCTTAGAATTACCTCTATGGTATTACCATAGAGGTAACTCTAAGACCACTGGGTCCCGAAGAAAATCATTATTATTTTTGGCTCACTCAGTACCAGAACAACGGTCCCAAGCTATTTCACTCACCCCTGCATGTTCTGCATGAATCCACACACCCCTGATGTTATCTGTCAAACTTTCATAGCGAATCAAAACAAACATAGTGTAGTAATAGAATTTCAACTAGAATAGGGTACGTTAATCGTTTGCTTGGGACCAATAGGCTACTAAAGTGGTGAGCCAATTTAAAATCGTTAGTTTCGTATTGATTGTTGATACAACTGCCTGCTGTAATACCAACAATCAATACGAAACTAACGATTTTAAATTGGCTCACCACTTTAGTAGCCTATTGGTCCCAAGCAAACGATTAACGTACCCTATTCTAGTTGAAATTCTATTACTACACTATGTTTGTTTTGATTCGCTATGAAAGTTTGACAGATAACATCAGGGGTGTGTGGATTCATGCAGAACATGCAGGGGTGAGTGAAATAGCTTGGGACTGCTTGGGACCGTTGTTCTGGTACTGAGTGAGCCAAAAATAATAATGATTTTCTTCGGGACCCAGTGGTCTTAGAGTTACCTCTATGGTTGTATACGCTAAATTTAACAGTATTCGAGACGAACCGGGGAAAGAATCTGGCTTACTGCTTTTTGTGGGACGAGTCAAAGGCACGTCGTGGCGCACAGGAAATCGCCTCGTGCATTTTTAGCTACGTGCGATGCTTAGTGAGTGATGCTGAGTCAAATAGAGGGGTTCTGATCCGCCAGGTGAACTTATTTTCCGACAGGTGTGGTGGCCAGAACCTAAATTTCGTGATGGTTATGATGTTCGCCTATCTGCAAGAATGGTTGACTGTAGAAGGCAAAATATAATCACCACTCATAAATTTATGGTCTCTGGTCACTCGCACATGGAAGTCGATTCCGTGCACGCTGCTATTGAAAGAGCTAAGAAGAAAAACAGCATGGATATAGAGACTCCCCGTGATTGGGCGGTTTTTAAATCGCAGGTGCGCACGTGCGCAGGCGAGTTCCCTTCGTTGCAAGGAGCTTAGCCAATCTGATTTTCTGGCTTTTAAAGAATTAGAGCACCGATACAAACGCCCAAAATCGAACGTGGCTGGACAACCACTCCAGTTTAAGCAAATTATGATATTCGAGTACCGACCAACAGCGATGGGAAGGGTGTTTTATAAGATTGATCCAAATGATGAGTGTTTCCGGGAATTCGTCATAGCTCCAGAAGATCATTTACGTCAAACACCCCTTCCAGTACTCACACCAATCACTACGACACCGTTGCCTCTTCCACAAGCAAAACTAGAGGATTTAAAGAACCTTCAACCGTACATAAACAACAAGGCGTACTATGAGACGCTTTTGAAGAACTTACTGCCTGCCAAGCGAGAAAGAAAAAAACAATCCGGCAAAGAATACCATTTCGAAGACGACATGGATGTTCACGAAGCCGATGAAGAGGAGCTTCCATAGTGATTTCTGATTTGTTCAATAAAACTGCATTTGTCTTGTCCAAATTGACTTATTTTTTCTCATTCAATCAATTTTTTCACAATATTATCTTAACATAAAACCGATTTTATTAATTTTTACATCACAATGCAAACAGCGCCCTTAACAGCGATCAACCTTCAACGCCGGAGTCCAGCCCATATAGAACCGTTCCTGATGCCATCTTAGCGTCACACGGTCGTGGAAACTCCTGTGGCAATCCTCACATTAATGGCACCGTTCGTCGTTAACAGCTTATAGTACGTTCAAACTACAGAGTTATAACATAGAGGTAACTCTAAGACTAGTAGGTCCCGAAGAAAATCATTATTATTTTTGGCTCACTCAGTACCAGAACAACGGTCCCAAGCAGTCCCAAGCTATTTCACTCACCCCTGCATGTTCTGCATGAATCCACACACCCCTGATGTTATCTGTCAAACTTTCATAGCGAATCAAAACAAACATAGTGTAGTAATAGAATTTCAACTAGAATAGGGTACGTTAATCGTTTGCTTGGGACCAATAGGCTACTAAAGTGGTGAGCCAATTTAAAATCGTTAGTTTCGTATTGATTGTTGGTTATAACATAGAGGTAACTCTAAGACTAGAAGGTCCCGAAATAACGTGCTCAACTTTTTGGCTCAGCTCTGGTACTCTCTTCGGTCCCAAGCTAATCGATTCACCCCTCGAAACATAGGAAAAACCAATAACCCCTCATTTTATCTGTCAAACTTTCAACGCATGATGTTTTCTATCCAAACAGGGGCGGATTATATTTTGTTTTGTTTTTTGATGAAAATAAGCTGGTAAAGTCAATTATTTTAGCAAGGTAATGCTCAATCCATCTTATTTCAACACCTTACATTTTTAAAATTAGACAAACTTATGTATTTTTGAAATAGGATTTAAAAATATAACGTTCAATCTAATAGCCATTTTTCTAAATGTTTACATTTTGGTCTTAGGCCCTTTTCAATTGTTGGTCTTGAATGTAGAACCCTATCGAGCAAAGCTTTCATCGATGTTCTTCTTTATCGACACGTGATGAAGTTTGACAGCTGATGCTTTTAATACGCCTTTGTCAGTGTTGATTTTGTTTTCGCATCGTTCTTCGTTTGCTCTTTCAACACACTAAAGTGCGGTATGTTTCGAAAGAAGCAACACTGAAATTCGGCTTCCAAAAACAAGTTGAACGTTTCAAAACATCGTGACCAAACACCAGCAGAAATAATGCCAAAAGTCCGCCGCAGCCGCAAGTCACCGCCGGAGGGCTGGGAGCTGATCGAACCGACCCTGGAAGAACTGGAACAGAAGATGCGCGAAGCCGAAACGGAACCGCACGAAGGAAAACGTATCACCGAATCGCTGTGGCCGATATTCAAGATTCATCACCAGAAATCGAGGTATATCTATGACTTGTTCTACCGGCGGAAAGCCATCAGCAGGGAACTGTACGAGTACTGCCTGAAGGAGAAGATTGCCGATGGGAATTTGATTGCCAAGTGGAAGAAGTCCGGCTACGAGAATCTGTGCTGCTTGAGGTGCATCCAAACGAGGGATACCAACTTCGGGACGAACTGCATCTGCCGGGTACCGAAGTCGAAGCTGGAGGAAGGACGGGTGGTGGAGTGCGTCCACTGCGGATGTCGGGGGTGTTCCGGTTAGAGACTGGGTTAGGAGGTAGGAAAAATGAATTGATTTGCTTGTATCTGCGGAAGAGAGTGTGACTGCGCTTTAGGACATTATTTTCTTGGTAATACATTTTGAAACGGTACAAAAAGATGTGCGCTTGAATTTATGTGAGAAATGTCTGTCCTAGGGGTGATTTCCGGGTAGACATAAGCAACTGGGTCGTAAAACGGATCGCGACGCGTGGCGTTGCTCGTTTATATGGCTGCAGGCCTCGTCGTAGACAAAGAATTTGCTGATGTAACAGAGCGACTTCCCCCCGGGGGCGGACGAAAAACCAGTCAGCATTGTGGCACAGCTCGCAAAGTAGGTACAGCGTGATTGGCCGTTAAAAGGCATGAAACCGTTTGTACGTTCGTGAGCCGATACAGCGGGTCAGCCCGACGCTTAACGACGTTACTTTTTATGATTGTTATCAGATATGTTTGAACTTTTATATTGCTGATTGCATCTGAAACTGGACTGTGATAAAAGTGCACGCCTCCGTCAAATCGTCGACTAGACGCTTATTTGTCCAGTTTGGTGTGAAATGCGTAACACCTATTCGGAAAATTCGTTCACTAATTTTTTATTGTATTCAGGAGAAGGTTGATAGAATCCACAAATGGCCGTTTTGTGGAATCTATCACTCTAGTCCAAGTGGGAATTTTTCCATTGAGGCAAATTGAGTGCCGGTGTCTTAATTTCAAAAGCAGCTTTGCTGGAATTCAAATGCGCATGTATAAAGATGTTCCGAGCAATGACTTGTGCACCAAATAACTTAATAACCGTTAACGTACGTACAAAGTCGGGAACAGAGCTCATAATCGTTATCGGTTTGTGGTTCGATGATTGCGGCATTAGAGCGTCATAAAAGCGAACCAAAGGCAAATATTTTCTCCCATCAAACTTTATTAACTTCCGTCTCCTGACTGCTCTGTTGGAAAAGCACTGTAAACATCGCACATCTTCTGACCGTGTGTAACGAAAGAAATTAGAAGAGGGAAAAGGACCATTATCTTCGGATTTTCCACAGCCCCCACACACACATGTGATCATTTTCTCGTACGGCTCCCGTCAAGGCGGGCAAAAATGCAACGGTTCTCTAATGGAACGCGCAAGGGAGGACAAAATAAGCTTCAGATAAGTGGTGAAGGAGGATGGGTGATGGGAAAGCAAAATGCGCTTTTTTCCAACCCCATGCGGCATCGAATCGGATAGGAAACCAAACATTTTATCATGATCCATAAAGCTAACTAGTTCCTCAAACAATCTGAAACAGAAGCTGACACAGGGCAAGGCTCCCGGCTTGCACCATCCGCTTTCCCGCACCCAATAATTTGGGTCACAGTGGAGATGATGAGCGCAGCAGTGCCGGGAAGCACGAGGGAGAGACTCGTGTGTGTGTGTGTAATAATAATATTAACTTTTTTTTTTATCTCCTTTTCGTGTCCAGCACCATTCTTGGATAGGAGGGAAGCAGGAAAAGCGAACGGTCTTTGGGGTGGCATTTGTGATATGGCGGCAAAATCGGTTGGCCATCGGCAAAATGTCCAGGATTTCTTTCCTGCCGTTAATGGAGGGGTGGATGGGGCAAGGGGTCACGAGCGTACACAGGCATAGGGCTTGTTTTGCATGAGCGGTCTTAAATAATCCTATACACGCCTCTGTGATCAGCATCTTTTTGGTGCTCATCCTCGCCGCGTGCTTCGCTTTCTCGAAACCGGAAGTTACAATGTATCGCATCAGCCAGCTTCACAGCGTAAGCGTCCACCCCAAAGTAAACTTACTGTGATGAGGGGGGAGAGTAGTATTTGATTGGGTTGGGGAAGGAGCTTTCAATCGGATAAAAAGAATGCGCTTTTCCACTGTTAGAGGATAGGTGAATGTATCGACGGTATAGGAAGGCGATGGACGAAACGCGAGAAGGAAACATGAGTAGTGAGCTTGGAAAATGAATAGGACACAGCAAAAGATAAGGCGGAATAGAGGTAGCTCTGGGTCCTATAGTAACAGCAACATGAACGACATTAGTTTCACAAATGGTCACACGATCTCGGTGTGGGGGGGATGAAATTGGCCGTGCAGCGAGAAAAGAAGAAGCTCTTTCATTGTTGATATGGGGGGAACAGTTGGGAGGAGTATGTGGATGCGAACGGGTGAAGAACGAAAAATGGCCATAATCCATTAGTTATTGAAAAAGTTGAACCAATGTGTTTGCTCGATTGCAGTTCGTGATTTTTTACTTTATGCCTTTATTGGTCGCGCGTCGCATCTTGTGCTTCTCTTCGATCGGTCATATATTGTATGGGCTGCGTGGTGCGGTTGAGCTCTTCCATCCTACTTTCGTTACTGCTAAACTATTCGCTACGTAAGTATAATATGGTCATGAAATTGAAAGAATTATGAAATGTGTATTGTTCGCATATATCTTATTGGTTATTGCAGCGAAACGGGTAGTTAGTTAGTTTGTTTGTTCACTTGTCTGATAGTTAACCGTTACGCCTAAGTGTTTAGAAAAAAAAAACGCGCTACAATTTTTCCGAACAGCTCAACTTTCTATAATCCTATGAAAGGAATGAAGTTTAAATCATTGAAACCCGCTGAACCCCGTTATATCACAAAATGCTTAGCTTTCTCCAAATCATCCTGAAGTTTAAATCCTAATGTTCTACAGGCTCAACAAACCTGATTTATTATATGAATCTCCCCATAAAACATCCTTTCGATTTCCCCCGCGATTAAGTGGGATCTACTCCACCTCTCACTATTTCTCGACTAAGAGCAACCGTACCAGTCGTTGCCATTTGCGGCACTATTTTACTTACGCACAGCGTTTCCATTTTGGCTTAATCACTCCTCTCCACACCGGTCGTTGCTATCAGAGTCATAATTTAAGTTACCGTTTTCCACACCGGCAAAACAATCTTTTGGCGTTTATTCAAAATAGCAACCGTCTGATGCGTTGCTACCGGGTTGCTAAATTTATGAACTCACTACTTCCCAAGGTGCGGATTGCTATTTCCCCAACCTGAATAGCAACCCCCGGTACGCAAATAGCGTTATGGTAGAGGTTGATAAATGTGCCTTATTTACTCATTGGTACGGTTGCTCTAATCCGACACAGAGACGATGTTTAATAAGAGACGCGCGGAGAGAATAAAAGTAAATCTGGTTGCACGGCCATCTAAGTTATTTTGTCTGCCAAGTTTGGCAGCCCACTATTTTGTGTCTACTTCGAGTGACTTTTAATTTGAGCGAATACTTTTTTGATCGTTTCGTCAACCATGCATTTGCTCGTCGATTTGGCTTAACTGTAGTGTTAGTATGCGTGGGCGAGCTACCAACTACGCCGACCGACGAACAAATGCATGGTTTACAAAAGCAGATACGTCCATTTAAAAAAGTAATCGAGAAGTCTCTTATTAAATATCGTCTCTGGTATCGCCGTATTTCGTTTATATTTTCAGCCGGTCTAGCTCACGGATGATCCGGTGGATGCAGCAGAGATTTGTTAAAAAATTGGTCGAATACAGCTTACTCACCGGGTGAGTCGATTGTACTCACTTTCGTCCGATGTATCGAGTTGTCAAAAACTGAGTAAACGAGAAATGTCAAACTGAGTAAAAGTCACTAAGTCAGCAAAATCCTGGAGTTAGAAAAAATGTCAAACATGTTGGAGGAAACTTCCAAGAAAAAGTTACTCAAAACCAGCTGAAATACCTTCAGGTAAGAAGGACTTGCTGAGGGAAACGGTGTTGAAGCATTTTCTGCTCCGGTAGAATGAATCCGGAGCAGGAAATTTCCATTTTCTTAAATAAAAATCAAACAAAAACACTCCCCGCAACTGAAAATAACGCTGAGTGGATTTGACTCAGTCTACGTGAGAACGTCGTTTACTCAAAAGTGAGTCAACATGAGGCTACTCAATTTTGAGTAGCCCTACTTGCCGCTGAGATGAGTACATTCGTACATTGAGTACATATGTTGGTACATATGTCATCACAGTTGTTGTTATTCACATCGTCGTGATTGTGCACTGCTAAATTTGTCGATTTTTTATCACACGGGCTATCGTTATTCGTTTTTTCCGTTCGGTATACCTGTAATATTGTACTGGTTGTTAGTGGAAAGTGCAGTTCGTTGCGATAATCGTCTAATTAGAGCATATTTTGTGTTGTGAAAACAGTGAAAAAGTTATTCAATCGGACATATTGCAGTGTGTACTGTTGTGTTATTGTCGATATCAGACTAGCATTGGGCGATCTTGAGAATCCAATTCCTCTTTGCGTATTACACTGAACCAAAACATCCGCAATACTTCGAATGATTATTGCATTGCTCGAGCCCTTTAACAATATGCATTCGGATTTCTGATGTTTTTTTTATGGTTTAATTCGTCGTCAGATGATGAACATCCATACGACTGTCATCCAAATACAGGATGATTTTCGTTTGGAAATTAGCTATAAAACATATACGGTACTCAGAGGACAAACATTTAAGAATAGTGTGACATGCAAGTACTTTTAATTAGATTTATGATTTGATTATGTACAATTCCATACTGAATAGCCATAATAAGCCATTCCATCATGTATACTAAAAATTTTCGTGGTGGAGAAAACCTCCTCCACCACGAATTAGCCAAACATTGGTTTTCATCCTTTAACTTTGTTCGTAACAGCTTTGATAGCGATGCACACGGATAGAAATCTCCTTATACCTTTTGGCAAATTTCCATTGCTGATTATTCATAAAATGTATAAGTCAACTAATAAGCAGAAGCCTTGCAAAAAGTTAATAAAGATCATGTGTCAAATGAAATGTATAAGCGGTCACACATACCTTTTATGCATTCTAATATGACCTATGTGGTTTGTCTTATGAAATGTATAAGGCTGATGCTTTGGCAAAAATGTATAAGTGAAACACATGAATTAAATAATTGATTTTTGTTTCGTGCATATGCTTCCACCTCGTTTGTCAGCTCAGATCAGCAAATGACGTTCGATAGAATTATTTACATCATCGTTTTGAATGATTTGCGTTATGGGGCTGAACCAATACCATATGCATTTCCATTTAGTATG